CGTTTTATTTTTCTATAATTCGGTAATGACACATAATGACGTTTAAATATATAAATTTTGATAAAAAGATATTGAATGATATCTATTGTTTCGAAATCCGATAAATGAAAATTGTCTTAGAGCAAGCCAAAAAACTGTCGAAATACAAGTGTTTTGTCTTGAAACTTTGATTATAAGCACCAACGCGAACTCTATCGCTTTTATCAGGCTGAGATAGAAGTCTCTAACAACATTTTCTTATGTAATGTTATGTTTGATTAGAAAATAGATCTGATACCGTTTGACCGAAATCACTGTTGAAAAGCCCAATATTTCTTCTGTTCCGAATAAAATTTTTATCACAAACGGATATTTCTTCTTTGAGTGATGAACCACTTAAATTAGATAGTGTCGTCAATTTTTCCGATTGAATCGAGTTATGCAATATGATTGTTCAGATTTACATAAATGACACTGTTTACGTGTACAAGAAAGAATAGCAATGAATCGATTTAGACTACACAAGATTCGATCATATAAATTTGTTTTGTTAATAACACTTGATGAAGTAATATGATGATAAAAATGATTTTGTTATATGTTAAGCAAGATAAACAGAAAGCCAAGTGAGAATATTCATTAGAAATACTGAAATCATCTATTAAACAAATCTCCAGAGAAGATAGACAAGGTAATTGAATAAGATTTTGAAAGAAGTGAAATGATAATCGACTAAATGAAGACTGAAAATTACATAGTTGAATAAAATTGATTAATATAATATGAATGTAATTTACCAGGTGAAACGATTCGTTGTCGACTTTTAAACAATAAATCGTCTACAATGATCTTAAAATAATACTATGGATTTAAAATCAATACCTATATTTAATCGTAAAAATATATGATTGAGAAGATTTTCAAAACGATTATTGATAGTTAATAATCCATCAAATATATTACAATCATCCAGATATTCCAAAAATTTCATTGGATAGATGTTCAATACAATTAGTTGATGTAGTATACATTTTTTTATAAATTGTCATTACTAGGAATAATAAAAGAAATTGAAAAAAAATTAACAATCATAAATAGATATTTAAACTTCCTTTATAATTTTTTTTGTCCTTATCCCCATTGATATATATTTCCTTTCAATAATCATCGTTCAACTTGTTTCATTTTGATTTTGAAGCTAAATATTGACCTAGAAAATATTATACACGGCACTAAAAATTATGTCTTCCTGAATTTATATGGAAATTTCATATGTATAAGGTGAAAATGCATATCAAAGTATCGATCATATTTCTTCTTCCATTGTGATACTAATACTCAAAAAGGACAAATTTTACAACCTAATGGCAAACCATACTTTTTTTAAATATTATATTTTTAGTAGTAATATGATATACTTTATTTTCTTCTGAGTTAGCAACTTTGATCAATGTAAAAGTATCTTCGTAAGTGGTTTGTCATCGGTCTTCGACACCTAATTTACATCGTCACGTAGCTTTTAGATATTCGACGAAACCTTCATTATCTAACCAAAGTTCTTGATTAGGAGAAACGATCTAATGGCAAGTCTTCTATTGGGAGAGATGTTGGATTATGGTGAACTTCGTAGTTCTTCTCGCTCCTCATTGTCTGGTCATTACTTCTAGCACTTCGAGAAATGAAAATACTTTCTGTCGAATTTTTAGCCATATTCATCCTAAAAAATATGGACAATTTCAGATTGAAAAAATTCTTCACAGAGCTATTTATTGATCGTGTATATGTAGGTGTTGGCCCAAGTGAAGATCTTCTATATGTTGTCATTTAGTTCAGATCCTTTCGAAATCCAATGATAATTTTGAACATAAATATGGAATAGAACTTGTATTTCGTTTATTTAAAATATAAATGGCATTCACTATTTATCATCGAAAATATTTCTACATTTTACTTCAAGACTGCATAATATGAAAACAGAGTTTCCTAAGAATACGAATCAGTAAGATGAAGATGTGAAAACGAAATACGAATGCACTTTAGTTCAATCAAACTCGAATAAGTAATAATTTGATTTGAGTTTGTATCATCTTGTCATTCGTACTATTATTTTCTAGAAAGAAAACAATGAATGTGTGTTATTTCAACAAAGAATGCCCATCAACATACTTCTATAGTTAAATAAAATAGATATTTGTAGCACGTAGGAAAGCTTTTATACGAATTCTAAGTTCAAAAAATCATCTGTATTGAATTCAAAACGGTGAAAAAAATTTCATTAAGATTTAGTGATCGGATTTGAGCGTTAAATGACTATAAATGCCTTTAGTATATTTGAAATCCAATATCCACAAATGAGGCATATGCTTTGAAATTAGTCGTCCACAAGGATTAGTATTATGATAGGAATTATCAGTAAGTATAACGAAACGCAAAACTTAAATATGAAAAAATGGGGTGGGAGTGGATCTGACTGTTCCCTCACATACACATCCACCCACAATTCACATCCATATCTCCCACAACCACGCTCCACACTCACACTCCATACTCACGTCAGACACACACTTTCAACGATAACTTTGCTTTTCCTTGCAAAAAGCCATTATCCAGTGGCTTCCGATGCTTCGCACTGATGACTGACTCTCAAAAATAGTTGACTAAGATTTATTTCGTTATGAAAATATTCTAGATACGCTACTCTGTCTATACTATAGTAAGGTGTTTCGACAACTCTTATTCAAGTATTAAGGACGAAATCAGTTGGCGTTCTTTTAATTTTGAATTTGAGCTACCGTATGAAGAAAAACCCGTACTTTGAAAAACAAGGTTTGCGACATAGAGGATTACTTCGCCAATGATTGGTTATTTCACAGACCATTTTATCGCTAAATTAACTTCAACGTATTATTCCCATTTTGCTGCGCCATCAATTCAAGGAAACTTTTTCATACAAAACAATATTAAAAAAAGACACTTCCGATTCAAAAATTCAACATTCTTTACGTTTTAGTATTAGCTATTCGAAAGATGTTAACGAATGGAATGATGATAATATTAATTGATATCAGATAAAATACGCTGGATGTCTCGTTCAATTTCGACAACACGAGGATGTGTAGGAGGTAAGGAATGGCGAAAGATCGTTGCTGCTTTTGTATAAAATTCTAGTGCTTGTTCTAATTCATTATTATCTTCATAAGCAAGGCCGATATTTTCTAACGTCATGGCAATATGAGGATGCTCAGGTGGTAGAGACTTTTGATAGATTTTCAATGATAAATGAAAATGTTCCAAGGCAAGATCATATTCACCAAGGGAACCATACACACTTCCAATACTATTGTGCGCTATGCCCAGGTCCGGATGATCGATAGGACGATGCTGCTCAAATATGTGTAATGCCATTTGATGACATCTGAGTGCCTCTGAAAAGTCTTTTACTTCATTATAGATATTAGCCATATTATTGAAACATGCAGCTACACGTGGATGATCTTCGCCATATATTCGTTGATAAATAGTCAGTGCTTTATTATAGGATTCCAGTGCCTGTTGGTTATTACCTTTCTGCCTATAAACAACACCAATACTATTGTAGCTATTAGCAAGACTAGGATTATTTGGTCCCAATGTTCGTATTATCATCTCCACAGATTTATAATGCCATTCAAGGCTCAAGTCAAAGTCACCTTTGGCTGATGCCACCAAACCAAGTGCGTAATAGCAAATAGCGATATCTTGATGACCATGAGGCAATTCTAAAAGCATTTGACGATAGTATTTTTCGGCATCATCAAATTTTCCCATTCTCCACAGAGAATCACCAAATGATAGAAGACCTGTTTCTCCATCTTGGTATTGTTTCTTCATATACTCAAACAAAATCTTAAAATCTTGATCATTTTCACTGGACAAAGTCATTCGAATAATCCAAATTTGATTTTCATCCATATAAATCTTCTCCAGACGAAAAATAGCGCCTAGCATAATTAGCACTTCTTTTTCTTCACCGAAATAACTGAGGAAAGTAATATCAGCAAACGGTTTTGTTATAACGACTTGAGGATCAAGGTCAATTTCGAACAGAACCCTTAGTAAATCGTTTGATACGTCGGAATCGCCGAGAAGAAACATTGCTAATTGACGATCGACACTAGTAGAAAGAAATGAGCTCATCGAAAGGTAATGTCCGATTGATTGTTTCATCATTTCTAATTCTCCTAACGATATTAATTGAGCACGATAGACACGAATTGGTAACAGCAATTGATGTTGTTTAAGCTGTTGTAGAAGATCACGAAGGAAGAACCGAAAACGAAATATTAAATCAATGTTCTGCATACGAAGTGCTTTATTTAATACTCGATAAAGAAAGGATTCTCTTGTGTACCACCATACAGCTTTCTCAGGTACATAATCTCGTTCGAACTCGGCAATAATAGTCAATGCAGTCGTATTATTCTTATATTCGTCTTTGCAGAAAGCAATCAACTCGTTTTTGTCTGTTGAAGATGCTTTCATACGAAGAACAACATCGATGAGTAATTGTGCATGAACGAAATAGCCATTGAGTTCAGTGGATGATTTATCTTCATTATTAGTGTTAAAAGTGGTGATTGATAGTGGTTCTTCGATTTCATAATGCATTCTTTTAACTTCATTCGATTGAATTCGACTTAAGAGTTCATCAAACTGCATAAAATTACCTTTTACCTAAAATATGCGATTAATAATTGCGAATAATCGCCCTAGGATGAATTTTTCAAAACAAATCAGATAGAAGTAAAATGTTACTTACGGGTTACCATCTGGACATAGTCAGTTACCTTGATTTGACATTGAGATATTGAAACCTATTCAATGCTATAGATTTTCAAAAATCAACTTTTGTTTCTAATTTGAGTGAAATATATACAGTTCTATGCAGT